CTAAAACCTACCTTGTTCATTTGCATTACCAACACGATTGATTCCTCCAAGAACTTTATAAGCCTCTGAATGTACTGAGTCCACCCTCATTGAATAAATCTTAACTCCAGCCTCAAGAGTACAACTTGCCTAAATCATGAAATTACAAGTAGCAACAAATATGTAAGAATAGGATGTTTGTGACTGCAACATCAGAATGAGCTATGATCTTAAGGTTAGCACGGTTTGCAGTTTCTAGGTTACACATGTAATGGGATGACATCACATCAATTGGCCTTCTACTCTTCATGTAGGAGACTCAAGGGAGCAACATAGAAACATGTTTAAGCCAACTTTCATACATAAGTTTGAAGGATAAAACCCAACCTCATGAGTTTCCAATGATAACATTAAGAGACTATGCTTAATTAGAGAAAATGCATCATAGACATGCTTCAATAAATTTCTAAGGCAGTTAAACAGCTGATGAATATCTGTAACCAGAAACTAAAAATTTTACAAGAAATTACCTTCTGGAAGTTGGTCTCGGAATCATTCTCTTGTTCAACTTTAACTATCTCGCATAGATGATCAATTAGACCTAGCTCCCAAGTATTCTTCTGATTAATTTTCTGTATCCAATAGTAGTTCCAAAGTAAATCAAAATCTCACCAACAGCACTCTAAAATCAAATCACACATGAGAAACTAAAAAACAAGTGAAAAACAGCAGAAGTGATACATTTTCACTGGCGAGTTTGATGCAATTCTGGAAGAGTTCGAGAATCTGCTCCTTGTCAAGACAAGGATCTTCAGATGGAGGAGGCGCAACAGGGATGGGCTTACGACGGATGACCGCAGCACGGGCGGCGCGTGCTTGAGCGCGTTCGAGCTTGTCGTCATTGGAGCCCAAGACGAATTTTGTCGGAGAAAATGGACCTGGACCTTTCAGTTTGGGATTAGGGCTTATGATTTCCGCCATTGCAGTCGTCAATTTATAGATCTAGTAGACTTACACGTTACGAGAAGTGAACCTGAGAAGTGGTGCGTGCGCCGGTGGAAGTTTCCGGTTAGAGAGCGGTGAGAAGAATGGGAGCTTCTGGTTGCCGTTCGGATTGGGAAAGTGATTTGTGATTTCCCACCTTTTCCAATTTTGAATTTGCGACGCTGGCGGAAAGCAGTGCGCTCTTTTCATTTTTGTTTATTTACCCGTCAAATAGGGCTTCGTGAGCAGGGTGCGCTTTCGGTTATTTAGTTCGATTTAATCAAATTTTAGTTCGATTTTTTGATATTCGATTTAGAAAAGTTTACACTATATTTCATATCAAACTGGATTGATTCGGTTTGATTTAGTTTCATGTTTTTAAATTGATTTATCGGTGTAAATACAAATAAAAAAATATGATAAAGTGTTAAGAGTTTTATGTATTTAATTTATAATTAAGAAGATATAGCATATATGATTTTTTTAACTGGAAGAATTCAAATTTTATTTCTGTTTCAAGACTTTCGTGGGGGTTGAAACTATAATCTCTATCAAAAGCATATGATATATTATTTATTTATGAAAAAAAATATGGACATGGAGTTTAGATTTTACACTTAACTGTTTTGTCATTTAGGGGTTGTTTGATACGTGGGATTAATAATGCAGGGATTAGTTTTATCAAGTGTTTGGTTCATTGTTTCTTACCTAATATTGTGTGTGATTTAAATGTTTACAAAAAAAAAATCTTTCCAATTATACAGTAGAGTTATTATGAATTTTTTTATTTCATGTAATTGAGTCAAGGTAGATAATTAGCGGAAAATATTATTTTTTATAACATTTTTAACTACATATGAGAATAAAAAAATTTATCGTCATGATCACTATTTTTTCACGTAAAGTATTTGAGAGAAATAATTTTCATCTTAATAAATTGGAGTTAATATCACAACTTAATGATTTATAGAGAAAATTTATTGAACTTTGTTTTGTATGAATAAATTTTTTTTAAAAAAAAAACTCTTTACCATAAATAAAATAAAATAAATATAGCAAAATAAATTAAACTAATTTTATACTTTAGATGTGTGTGTGTGTGTGTGTGTGTATATATATATATATATATATATATATATATATATATTCTTGTTTTAGATTACTTGTGTAATGTTTAATTAACTTTGGTACTTATGAATTGTTCTTAAATTCATACATCAACATTAGCATATTAGTCGGATTATAATATTTTATATTAATAATAAATAGATTCAAAAAGATAAATAAAATATTAAAAGGGATTTGAGGGGGTATTTTAGTCTTTACTTAGAGTAATCCCATGGTATTAGAGCTAATACCACCAAATGGAAGGTATTAGTTATACACCCTCTAATACCATGTAGGGTGCATAACTAATCCCTAGATTGATAATACATAGACCCAAAATTCCTACCAAACATAGTATTAAATAATACCATACATAATATTTGGACTATTTCTCCTTATACTCCCTACCAAACGACCCTTAGAGTTTTGCTAAAATTTAAAAATTGAAATGGGCTAGGACCCAGGTAAAGTTGAAAATTGATATGGGCCACGTAAATTTTTGAGTTAAAATATACAAGTATCATTAAAAATTTAATTTAAATATTTTTAAATTTATTTAATAAAATTTTGGTTCTTCGGTGCACTAAAATTTTGGGACCCTTACATCGAATTTCGAATCGAAGAATCGAAGTTTCAAAAATAAAGAACTGACATCGAATCGAAATACAGAAGATTCAACACCGAAAAATCAAAATAGTTCGATTCGGTTCAATTTTTCGATATTTATGTCCACCCTTACGGAGCTAAGTAAGGGATTGTGCATCCGGATAAATTAAGTAGATTTTTTGTAGGCTTTATATTTGTATTAAAAATTAAAATTAATAAATAAAATTCTGATTAGATTGACTAAAAAGTTAGTCAAATTTATTTTAAATTGTTTTTTAAATTTCTATTATATAGAAGAGTGAAGTGGGAGGACGATTAAGGACAAAAATGTAATTTGACGCTAACAAAAATCTATTAAGAAAAATAAGAAATAATTTTGGAAACATCTTTTCATATATGAAGTGAATAATGATCAAAGACAAAAATGTAATTTTACACTAATAAAAATCTGCCAAAAATGATAACAAGAAAATTAAATAGTTTTGCAAAAATCTTATGTTATTGTTATTACCATTAACTTATTTTGTTATTACTTCACTTTTTATTGTGAGTTATTATAATATCTATTTTATTATTACTCTATTTTACTATTACTTTAATTTAATTTTTAATATTTTTTCAAACAATTATGCTTATAAAAAATGTTTACCTTTTATATAAAAATTTATCATGAATTAATTATTTTCATCTTTATTTTTGTTCTAATTAATATATTTGAAAATAAATAAGTGTGATAAAATTAATAAATATTAGATTGAAATTAAAGAAAAAAATGTTAAAAAGTAATTTTACAAATAAAAATGAATAGGATGGTATATTTGTGTTAAAGAAGACCAAAAATAAAAATGTAATTTCATGCAAACAAAAATCTACCAAGAATGATAACAAGAAATTAAGTAGTTCTACATCATCTTTAATTATTCTTATTAGTATTACCTCAATTTTGTTATTTCTTCATTTTTATGAGTTTTTGTGATATGTATTTATTATATAAAAGTAAATAAATTATGATTACACTTAGCTCTTAATAATGATATATCAAGTATAATATTAAGTAAAATCAATCAAAATTAAAACTAAAATTATATTTAAATTTAAATTTTGTGTATTGAAATATTTTTTAATTTTATGATCTTAAATATACTATATAAAAAATTCAAAAATTCAGAAGTTATTTTCTTTTTGAAATGAAATTAAAAAATAAGTTCATCTAAATAAAAAAAGGAGGGAGTCATAGAAAATGAAATATAATAATTTGAAAATTTTAATTCTTCGTTTTAATTTCTAATTTGTTACATATTTAAAAAATTACATAAAATAGAAGTTTAAAAGCACAATGTAATAATTTAAGATATTTCTAGAAAAAAGATAGTTAAATAACATAATGAAATTTGCTTGACTCTTTTTTTTAATCGAAACAAAAAAAAGTAGCATATATTTATTTGAAAATAAACGTAATAACTAAAAAGTACTATAAATCACAGTATAATGACAAATAAAAATATGTGAGAACTATATATGAAATTTCGTTGATTTTCCTAATATCACTTGTATTACATAAAATGAAACAAATAGAGTAACATATATTATTCAAAAATGACATATATAAAAGGTATATAAATTAACAATTAAAAATATTTTTTTTAAAAAACACATATAAAATATTTAGTTCGCTTTTTCAAATTTCATTTGTGTCACATAAATTAAAAGAAAACAAACTCACATATGTTGGATTTGCGCTAGCGCGAACACCTAATATCTAGTAAGTTTTAAATGACTTTACAATTATCATTATTTTTTTAAAAAAGTAGGTTTGCCCTATTTTTATTCTTTTTAATTAAAAGTCACATTTTTTATTTTTTCAACTTAAAAAAGCTAGTAATTTTTTTTTTATGAGTCAATCCAAACAGATTCCTCTCCATTATTTTTCTTTCCATTTCTCCAAGTTCCCACTTGAACGGAAGCCATATGTTGTAATTAAAAATCAAAGGTGGCCATTTTTAACTATCAAATAAATTTCCATCTTTCATTTCTAATTATGACACATAAATTTTATTCAAATAGAAACATAAAAAAAATGACGAAAAAGTAACGGGAGGAGTCTCAACCTCCCCGTTGAGGGGTGAACCCCACTATCAACAAAGAAAAAGTGTCAAATATATTTCTTTATCATCACAATTTATTTTTTATATTTTTTTGTTCAAATATACTCCTCACAATATACTTAGTACAAACATTGATTATTCATCATTTATACTATGGTAGAAACATAATTTTCAGGGTATTAAAATAATTCATCATTAACGAATTGCTAGTTGAGCTAAAGCTTTGTTTGGTAGACTGTCAAGCAAATATTCTTCTTCTTTTTATATACAAGGCAAGCAGCAATTGTTGAAACCGTCAAAACCAACCTCATTGCTATTGAGCAAAGCTCTAAAACATGAACATGAACTAAATCGACTCTATGTAACAAGATTTGGATTTTTTAAGACAAAATATATATATATATAGTCTTTAATTGTCTAATTAACAATTCACAACGCAGGTTTGATTATGGCATAATTTGTGTTAACTAATGGATTAACATCGCCTTTCAACATGCGCTCAATCTCTTTGACAAATATTTCCATTGCAAAGGCAGGTAAACACATAGGAACCACAATCCCATTTTCACCATTCTTGTTTCTAAATGGTATGTAAAAACTAGCCATACCAGGAAAAGGACCTACTCCTCCTTTAGCTGGTCCCCCATACACTGGCTTCCCCCATCCAAAATCTACTTCTCCGAATCCCGCCCGAGTCACGTCTGACACGAGAAAAGTCCGAACCACAGCGAAATGAGGCCTTCCATTAATCACCATCAAATCCGCTACGGATTTCATGTATTCTTCCGTCACGTCCGACTTAGCCTTCTTCACTAGCTCAAGTGCATATCCTAGTGGATTTTTGACCAATTTCTCCGCGGTCGCAACTGCCACAGGGAACGCAAAGGCGTTGCCGTAGAATCCATTAGGCAAAGGTGGATTGAACTTGAAACGCGCATTGACAAGGCAAAGTACGCGAACTTCCTCTGCAGGATCTGGTTTTAGGGAAATTGTTCGACAGCGCCAAATTACTGATGTGAGTAGTTCAAAGGTGGAACATTTGCGCAAATGAGGAGGGAGAAATCGACGAAGTGCTGAGACCTCAGAAGGGCCAAAAAAGAATGATTTGTGAACCATGTCATCTAATGGGATAATTGTACCGTTTGTATCAGGAACTTCATCGTACTCATGGTGTGTGCATGTCACTCGAGGCGGATTTCGCGCATTTAGCAATTCCCTGCTCCAGACCGGGAGTGTAGATGGAGCAGATGCCCCCCGTGCCATTTCGCCAACGGCAGTCATAAATTCAACAAGACCGGTCGCATCACTCATCGTGTGGTTTAATCGCACTGCAAATATGAAACTACCACACTTGAGACGTGTTACCTGCATATAATTCATTGACATATTCATCAATTAACAATCAAATATAGAAAATTAACCCCCCAAAAAAATTGTCTACCTGAATTAGAAGCAGAGGACAGTTAAGAACTCCAGCAGAGCCAGGAACATCATAAAGGAGCTCTTCCAAACACGGAAATGGAGGCTTAAGTTCATCTCCAAATTGTTCAAGCGTAACATCAGCATCCGCCTCCACGAACATAACTCCTTCCCCGGAACAATCCACCATCAGTTTCCGGCCATTTCCTTCCCGGAGCCGACCAGCAAACGGATAGTAAAAAACAAGTGCTTCAGCTATAGCCTTTTTAATAACTTTTACAGGTTCATTATAATTTCCTCCCATGGAAGAATCCAAATCCGAATACGAATCCTTACGATAAAAGTTAATTACCGGAATTTGGAAGCGAAGACCTTCTTGATCATCAATGTCTGATAGAAATTTAGATTCACGTGGAGTTGGCTTTGCTGGAGCAATTAGCTCTGCTTTTTGCCTTCTCACTGTGAATACTAATTGTGATGAGGATTGCTTAATTGAATCCATCGAAGATGATGATTTTGGATAGTGTTTGTGTACATAATTTCCCAAAGAGCATAAGCTATATATAGAGCAAGTAACACGCTACTTGCATGTTAAAATAAAGGTAGTTTATAATTACTACGTTAATCTTAATTTTATCTGATGGCTCTTAGAGGCATAAATTATTTATAGTTCCGCAAACTATTGTGGCTTATTTTAAAATGCGGTGTCAAATCAAGGAGTTATCTAAGAAATAAATCATATACCTATAAATCAATCACAAAACAACACACTAGTAATAGTTCAACAAGTTAAGTTTGAAGAGTGTCGGGGGTAAATAGTTATTTCTAATAGAATCATTGCTTTAGAAAATTATTTTCAAAACAATTTTAAAATATACAAGCGATGAATATCATCATGAAAATATTAAAAAAGAAAAGTACACATATATAGCTAAGCAATAAAAATAACCAAAGTAAAAAAAAAAGATAGTAGGTGACTATAAAATATCATATTAAGGTAGAATGATAAGTTAATAAAACTTTTTAGGGTATTAAATACAAAAGATAGTATTTTTTTCGTTTTAATTTATTTATTATATTTTAACATAAATTAAAAATGTGTTAATATATTAAAATATAATTTAATTTTGTACCTTAAATATGTCATTTGGAGTTATAAAACTGAAAAATTGCTAAAAAAAAAAAGGAGATATTTTACAAAAATAAATTTTTAAAAAATATAATAAATAAATTAAAACAAGAAAATACTTATTTTTTTGCAACTCGAATTACAAAATAAATTAGAGTAACGCATGAAAATGGTAGTCAAAATCAAATTTCACGGCTGCTGCATTTATTGACTCTATATGAGGATTTGAAATTTGACTAATTAATATAATCATCTCGATTCTAATGTATTAATTAAAAAAAAATTCATACTCAACAACCGATTAATAGTAATGACTTATTTTTAATTATTTTTTTTTTCAAGTTGATTTCTTCAATTGGTTATAGTCCTTTTTCAAGATTTAGAAAAGGTATGTAAATCTAAATTTAGTGTTGACGAAAGTTTAAACTTGTATGGCTTCATTTAATTAATAGGAGCAATAATATTGTTATACTACGTACTATCCTCATTTCAGTTATAAGTCAATTATTTAAAACATGCGCACATGATATAATTAACTAACATATTGCATATAAATTTTCGAACTATTTTCTTGACTACTAGTTTTAAGTCAAGAAGTTATTACGATTTTGAGAGTTAAATAATTTTTATTGATTTTATTTGTAATGGTAATACTTATTGTAATTTTTCAAGTATTAGATATTATGTTAAATACATAAGTGGACTTCTGAATTTGCATATATTTTAATTCTATTTAAACACTTCAATGACCGTCTTCTTTCCGAATATTTTACCCACTCAAAAAATATTTCTATCTAACGTTGGACTAATTTGTTGTGTAATTTACCTTTTCTAAGCGCATGCACATAACAAACTGTATGGCCTTTAATTTGCCAAGACATTTTGGATCCATCCTATCTTGTTTGTGAAAATTATAAGATGACAAATTATAATTGAAATAAAGTGAAGAAGTTAAAATATCTTCCGATGCGTATATTTCGCTTTATGAAGGATATTTGAGTTTACTATATTAAATATTTTTCACCGATTCAATAATAGTTTTCTTGACTTGTCCCCTTTAGGAGACAACAACTTAATCACAAAATATAACTCAATAAATTCTAAACAAGAGTTAAATCTAAAGCTTTACAATTAATCAGAACTTTTTTTCTACTAACTTTTATATACTCTATTTCTCGTCTTTAAAATAAATAAAGATAATAAAATACGTAAATAGTGAAAAATAAATGACATAGAAAAAACGAAAAATGGAAAAGTAATATAGAGATAGTAACCTTAATAGTTGACCACTGCACATTCTGCCAGGGAACACAACGGAGGACCATTACATTCACTTCACAAAGATGTCATCAACTGACAAAAGAAAGTAATGCATCGAAAAAAAAAATGTAATTACGCAGGGAAGGAATTGGTAAAAGCACTCTTAACATAAATTAAGGATATTAAAATGCTTTACAAAACCAAGTTAAAAAGAAATATTGCATGCGATTAACATGTCAAAGTGCGGGTTTGATGATGGCATAGTTTGTGTATTTGCCTAATGGATCTTCTTCACTTTTCAACATGCCATTGAGTTCCCTAACGAATATTTCCATTGCAAAAGCAGGCAAACATACAGGCACCACAATTCCATTTTCACCATTTTTGTTTTTAAATGGTATGTAAAAACTCGCCACACCAGGGATTGCTCCTACTCCTCCTTTAGCCGGTCCACCATACGCTGCTTTCCCCCATCCAAAATCTACTTCTCCGAATCCCGCTCGAGTCACGTCTGACACCAGATAAGTCCGCACCACTGTGAAATGAGGCCTTCCTTTCATCACCATCAAATCCGCTACGGATTTCATGTATTCTTCCGTCACGTCCGACTTAGCCTTCTTCACTAGCTCAAGAGCATATCCTAATGGATTTTTACACAATTTAGCTGCGGTTGTGACTGCTACGGGGAACGCAAAGGCGTTCCCGTAGAAGCCGTTAGGTAAGGGTGGATTGAACTTGGAACGTGCATTGACAAGGCAAAGCACGCGAACTTCCTCTTCAGGATCTGGTTTTAGGGAAATTGTGCGGCAGCGCCAGAGGACTGATGTGAGCAATTCAAAAGTGGAAGATTTGCGCAAATGAGGAGGGATGAATCGACGAAGAGCTGAGACTTGAGAAGGGCCAAAAAAGAATGATTTGTGTACCATATCATCTAATGGGATAATTGTACCCTTTGTATCAGGAACTTCATCGTATTCATGGTGGGTGCAAGTCACTCGAGGTGGATCACGGGAGTTGAGCAATTCTCTGGACCAGACAGGGAGTGTAGACGGAACAGAGGCCCCGCGTGCCATTTCACCAACAGCAGTCATGAATTGGACAAGACCGGCTGCATCACTCATTGTGTGGTTTAATCGCACTGCGAAAATGAAACCACCACACTTGAGACGAGTGACCTACATATATATATATATATATATTCGTTAATTAAACATTCAAGTATTGTAAGTTAACAAAAACTTTTAACTATTGGCAGATGGATTCACTATTTAAATTTTGATGGATTCAAAATTCTTAGTACCTGAATAAGAAGCAGAGGAGAATTAAGAACTTCAGCAGAGCCAGGAACATCATAAAGGAGTTCTTCCAAACACGGAAATGGAGGCTGAAGTTCATCTCCAAATTGTTCAAGGGTCACATCAGCATCCGCTTCCACGAACATAACTCCTTCCCCGGTACAATCCACCATCAGTTTCCGGCCATTTCCTTCCCGGAGCCGACCAGCAAACGGATAGTAAAAAACAAGTGTTTCAGCTATTGCCTTTTTAATCACTTTTACAGGGTCATGATTTCCTCCCGTAGAAATATCCGAATCTTTACGATAAAAATTAATAACGGGGATTTGAAATCGAAGACCTTCTTGATCATCAATGTCTGAGAGAAATTTAGTTTCACGTGGAGTTGGCTTTGCTGGAGCAATTAGCTCTGCATTTTGCCTTCTCACCGTGAATACTAATTGTGATGAGGATGGCTTAATTGAATCCATTATTGAATAAAAATGGAGATATGAAGAAGATTTTGGATTAGTGTTTGTGTACATAATTTTTCAAAACACAAAAGCTATATATAGAGGTAATAACAGGGGTACAATAATGTATGGCAATTTTCAGGAAATTGTGCGACACTGTGGAAGTAAGTGGTTTTGTTTGTGGTTAGAAACTTTTTGTTAATTATTTAAAATATAAATTAGTAGCTAACATGGTAATGGTTGTTATGGTACAAAAAATTTAAAAAAAATGTGTCACGAAAACTTTATCTTAGTAAAAATGATTTGATTAATTTCATTGTGATAAGTAGCTAACATCGTAATGGTTGTTACAAAATAAAGATTAAAAAGAAAAGTGTATCGCGAAAAATAAAATATCTTATTAAAAATGATTTGATCAATTTTATTGTAATTTCTAGTAGCTAACATGATAATGGTTGTTACAAAATAAAGATTAAAAGAAAAGTGTCTCACGAAAAATAAAATATCTTATTAAAAATGATTTGGTCAATTTTATTTTAATTTCTAGTAGCTAACATGATAATGGTTGTTATCGGATATATGTGTGTGAATTTCAAACATTTTTCATGATAATGGCTGCGGACTACATTGACTTGAAATAGACTTGCCACTTTGTGTGGAAATGATTCATTTATTTGTGGAAGTGTTCATATTATACTAGGCAGGGATGCACGGGCCCAATGTTAAAAAGATTATTGCGTGTCTAATACCACATATAGATATATATATACGCAGATGGATATGCAAATTAACAAACAAGAGGTGCACATCCATGTAGAAGAGTAACCACATTAGCAGTAATGATAGTTGTTTTATGGATAATTTACAACTAATCCATTTGGAAAGAACATTCCAAAATATATGAATAAATGACACTCCATTAGATCAAAACTGAAACTTTTAAGTTGTGATAGCTCATTGATTGTGCAAGATGATAGCAAATAGAGTCACTGATGTCTAAAAACTAATATTTTTACAATTTGATTACCAAAGGATGAAATCTTTTTATAATATCCAGTTGCAGGTCATACCCTATATCTTTGCACACAAGATAGAAAAATAAAAAATCCAGAGAGTTCATTGACAACCTTCCCTGCTCCCGCTTTGGTTGCGAGAGAAAGGAAGGGGCTGATCTGATAGTGCGTACTGGTGTCGATGCAATACTCCTTGCTTTCAGAGCTGAAAAGAGAGTGTGAAATAAATGAAACCAATTGAATAAAAGATACGTATATTGGCCTAATCGCCACGTTCTTTAGATGATGCTTGAATTTTGGTAAGTGTGTGCACATGCACTATTCATCCGATGTTTTTCCAAAGGCCAAGAGATCAACATAAACTACTTCAATGTGCACATTTATGTGAACCAACGTTGTTGGCTTGTGCATATAATTTATCGACAAGAGAATATTAAAACACACAAAATATACTCTTTAGGCATAATAACTAAAAACAGAACAATCATTAGTGCAATAGATAATACATTAACAATTTCATTAGTACTCTTCATTGAACAAGTGACTAAAGAGGGAGGATAGTAAATTAATAATAGATTGAAGCATGCAAGATCTAAGTACATTGTGAACGTTTTAGGTTGTACCTGATATCAATTTCTCAAAAATAGGCAGTAAAAGTGTACGCCATCAACAACATAAGTGTATGCCATCAACATCTTCAAAAACATATAATATATTTCACTGGTAACAAAAATAAAAATGATAGGTGGGGAAATAGAGTCTTGACAAATGCATGTAGTTTAGTTAATAAGTTTATGTGTGACTTATAGATCACGAGTTTGAGTCGTGAAAGCAATCAGTAATGCTTTGATTAGGATAAACCATTTATACCACACCATAAAACCGTGCACAGATACTTTATGCATGGAACTACTAATTAATATTCAAATATATATACTGCATACTAATCAATAGGCACTAATTTAAGTTGCAAATATAGAAACAACTTCTAAAATGTGTTGCGACTCCAATCAATTACTACTGAATTTATTCAATGTTTGTGAGAGATGGGAGGGTTTGAGAACTATACAAGATGAGCTGAATTTCATTATTTACATATTAATTAGAAGCATATATGATTAGAGCTGATATAAGTGTTAAAATTCATACATAATTATTAACTCACATCGAAGCATTAGATAATACACTACTCATGCACTACTGAATTAGGAAGAGAGTGAGTGCTACAACAAGCAGTGTCACATAATCTCAACTTGCCACTTTTACTCTAACCTTGTTTCACATGATTATATAAGCTATTATCATATTTAGAGATTTAATATTAGATATAATTTGTGGATGCATATTATTTATATTGAAGTGGAAAAGTCCTGTAGTCTTATTGACATAACTATAAACTACAGAGAAATATTAGCAATAGGTAACAAAAATGAACCCTTTCCACAATCATAGTCACCCCCTACACCATATCCTTAGAAGATAGACTTAAAAATAATAGAATATCTCACCAAAACAACTGAAATTCAGTTCAAAACAAATATGCTATAAGAACAACAACTATGTAACAACACCTCCACTGTATTTCCTATACAAGTTGGTATTATCTTGGTGCATTAAAAAAATATAAAGTATTGGAAGCTCTCCCATTTCATTGAGGTCTCAGTTATCATTAACATATCTATTTGCATATCACAATATCATATATCAAGTAAAATAAATAAGATACAGAGCTTTAGGAGACAAAGATTTAGAGCTCATAATCTAGTGCCAACATCTAGATTATGTAACTTTGATTTATTTAGAAGATTTTACCGTCTACAAAACTCAAAACATTAGAAATAATAACAAGTAGTTCACTAAATGCCAATTTGTTAATCTCAAAATGAATTATTGTTCTTGATCTTACCTTTCTTGTCACCTTTCAACAATGATATATTCACGATGAGGTTATGATTCCACCATATTTTCTCCACAAATTAGTGAAATGATGAAATATGCAAGGATTATAATTATTCTCGAGTTCTCCTTTATATTAGTTGTAGCAAAGATCAGACTCGATCCAACTTCTCAATCAATTGTGACTACTTCGTGTATGCGCCTATTTCTCGTAGCTCTGCTCCTATCCCAAAACCATTCACCCTCATATGATCCTATTGTGTCTGTAAGTTCATTTTTCTTTTTCTAATTATAATTTTACAGTTATACTAAGTACTTACATTTAAGGATGCAAAAATATATTCTCTTATATCTATCCGTGGATGGAACACAACATACAAATAGTATACAATACCAACCGTAATTTTCTTGAGTAGTCCCCATAGCTATAGACTATAGTCATATTTCCTTGCTTTAATTCAAATTTATTGTGACCTTGCACCAAATGATTGCTAAATAATAAATTTTATGTTGTTTAACTGGTAAAGATGCTTATACAATTCAACAAGTACTTGGCTAGCGATGGAATGAGAAAAAAGACGTTGGTTGTGGCGATTGAAGAACTATATAGAGATGCAGGTGCGCCTGTTAACATGCCCAAATTTTGTATGAAATGTTGTTTATGCCCTTCATATATATTTTATTTGTTTTGCTTTTTCCTAATTTTGCTTTTGATTATTAAATAAAAAGCTCAAGAATCTATGAGAACTTGCAAGATAGGTGATAGGGCCAGGTCAGTGCCTTATGGTGAAAGATATTTGGTGTCATGACATGTTTGTTGTCAATCAAATACTCAAAGTGGATCTGAAAACTATGGTTTGCTAATATTCTCTACTGAACTCAATGAAGATAGAGAAAACTAATACACAACGAAAAGGGAGATCAAAATAAAAGACGGAAGAAAACATTAACGGACATACCCGTAGATGACATTCTCGTAGAGTAGTTGTATATCCTTAACTTCACACTGCAAGTGAAAATAATTTCAAAACTTTAATGCAATGAGATGAAGAAACTCCAAGCTAAACCCATAACAATGAAAGATTAAAATTTATAAACCTAGAAAGTTGATTCACTTGGAATCAAATCCTTAGTAAAAAAAAATTCAGTTAATTACACCATAAACCCATATGAACAAAAAAAAATTAAAAAAGAATAACGAAGAAAGAGGAACAAATTAATTACTGCAAGTGATAAAAAAAGCTTTGAAATGCAACATGGACGAATAAAAATATCAATTAACAAAACAAGAATTGAAATTGGGTACTGACGAAATAGTATCCTGAAAATGAATGTTTAACCAGAAAAAACAAAACTTAATGCTTTACCTACTAGTTTTATCCCTCCAAAACAAAGACTACTGGAAATTAAAAACTTGTATAAACAACTTGTATAAATGACTTTTCAATGGAGATGCAACTACAAAATTTTTTCGCCTTTCAGTTGTTAATATGATCTCTTATTTTAAAGATGGCAATGGAGACCAAAAAAAAATTGTTGACCACACCTTTCACTACTTCTCAAATTGCTCTACTACTGGCGTGAAAAGGCACAATGAGTTCATCTGCATCCTACAAATCAACTATCAAGAAGAAAGCACACCACCAAAAATCAAAACCTAACAACAAAAACAGAAATTCTAGCACTGAATAATTCAACATGTTCAGTTTACATAATTCATAGCAAAATCGACCAACTACATGAAGTTGAAATGGAATTAAATTAAATCCTAATGCAACTATGCAAGTACCGAACAACAACAAAAAAGTACTATACTATATAAGCTTATGTTTTATTAGCAGCTAACGTTGAAGCTAAGACTATGTTGCAGTCTATTTGCTTGGCATCTCTACTTCACTCTCGAAAACTCCAAGACTCCATTAACGACAATTCAAAAATCCACAACACTACCCTACTCCATTCGAGCTCAAACAAGTTGTTGTCTTTCTCATCAAAACCAATAAATCTCTCACTACTCTTACTTTATTGGTTTATATCTTGTTCAATATTCACCTAATGAATATAATTTGTGTCTCAGAATTCTAGGTGCGTTGTTGAAAGTGTAGAGTTGGGTGAATCTGTTGTTGTACCTGAGATGACGGTAGACACTGCTCCATTAGTCTCTGTGAACGTGATGTCCAACGAGAGTATTAAGGAAGAAGAAAACAATGGCATGATCCATGCTCAATCTGCTGATACTGTTGAAGAAGAAAACAATGGTCTGTCCCCTCAATCATCAAATGAACTTCCAAAGCAAAATGCTGCATCTGCTGAAAAAATTGGATTATCAGACTCCAATGAAACAGGAACAGTTTATCCATCCAACCCCAACGAATTACTGGATGTGCCCCAATTAACAGTTCCAAGAGAAACTGAGGATCAAGTTTATTTTGCTTGTCCTAAGGTACATTTGCTTTTTTTTGTGTGTTTTATTTGGTAGCAGCTTTTTGATAGAATTGTTAGTTGTACTTGAGAATAGTCTTGTTATACTAATATTCGGTTAATTTTGCAGCACTGCAATGCTGAGTGCAGTTTTTTCTCAGTTGTTAAGAGATGAATTGTTGGAAAAATGTGGAGGAGCTTAAGGTAGCAATTCTAAGTCTTAAAGAAGATATTGAGAAGACACTGGATAAGCTGGAATCTATTTCATATTGAGCAAGTTGATGATCAAGATGTTAATTTTCATGTTCTAGTCTTATTTTGCTGTTAATCTTATTGTTATTCTTCTGTTAAGTTTCCTTTAACACATTCATTTCAGAGTAGGAACAAGTTAAACACCTTGTTGAAAAATAGAAATTCCAAAAATATCCTTAATAATAGCAAGAAAGCTCATAGAGGTATCTAATGTAGGACAAAGAGCAAAATCAGAATAAAGGGCGTAAGAAACCATCAACGAACATACCTGTGTTCAAATTCGTATAAGTAGTTCCAGATCCTTGAATTTGCTAAGAAGACACATCGATAGTTCAAATTCTGGCATAAGTAGTTGCAGATCTTTAAATTTTCACACTGTAAATGAAAATAATTTCAAAAAGTTAATGCAATGATGTATGAAAAAAATTCAAAGTGAAACCCACAACAGTATACGACTAAAATGAAGAAACCCAAAAAGTTAATTCCAATGGAAAACCAACATATACAAACAGAGGAAGTCCAGAAGAAGTATGATGGAAAAAACAACTAAAATTAAGGAACCCAAAAAGTTAATTTCGACAAAGAACCATCTATGAACATATAAGATTTAAAAGAATTATGATGAAGACAGACTAAATTAATTGTTGCATGTAATAAACAAAGCAAAAAATCAGTAACGAAACAGAAAAAAACACAACCACATGACAAAAACTGAACATCAACACTAAAACCAACTGAAAAAAGAAGAAAAAAATCATCAATTTTGGGGAAAACAAAGAAGATCACAAAAAAGCCAAAGAAACAATATTAAGAAGCTTACCTCAACAGATTGCTGGAGAAAGGAGAACTTTTGGTGTGCATAAACCGTAGTCCGCATTGATGTATACACTGAAAGCACAACAACAGGACACGTAGCCAAAATGGAGTACTAAAAAGACTAAAATACCCTCAAACCTATGAAGCAAAAACGTCAATTCAATAAGGGGAAGAAACTCGAAGCCAAACACACAAGAACCCAACAAATTGATTTCGATGAAAACCCCATACATGAACGGAGGAAGTTCAAAAGAACTCTGAGAAAGAAAATTCAAAGCCCAAATTAATTACTGTATGTGACAAAAACACAACAAAAAATCTGAAACAGAAATCCAAAATAAAACACGAAAATCATAATCACCCAGCCAAAATTGAACGCATACAGATGAAAATTATTGGGACTTCCAAAACACAAGGAAAATTGGACATCAATAACATGGAAAAGAAGCAAATTTTCACACACCTAGATCAAATTTGATATATTCACACACCTAAATTTGATTGTCGAACTTCAATTTTGAGGAAAAGAAAGATGATAAAAAAAACTCAATGAAAATATGGAAGAGTCATACCTGGATGAAATGCTAAAGAAGAATCTTGCTATGCACTGAATTGATGAAGACAGACACAAAGTGAGGTGCAAATTGATGGTACATGAGGAAGACACGTAGTTTTAATAGGCAAATGAAGAGACAGAAATACCCTTGACAGCAATGAAACAGGCATGTTGAACAAGCCTTTTCTAATATAAGAGAAATTCAAGGACGAAATTTCTCTTGAGAATTAATATTTGTATTTAACTATCTTAATTATAAATATATTGCTATTTTGATTTGTTTATGAGCTATATTTATATGTTTTATTTGAAAATAATAAAAGTTCGATTCTTTGATGATCAAAGTTTGAGATCCTTACACTAAACACCAAATAAAAGAACTGAATTGTTGACAAACAAACACTAATGTTTTGTGACACTCATTTCTCTTTAGTCCTTTCTAAAAAAAGAATATTTTCTTACTATAGTTAGAAACAATTAATATTAAAATTTTCACTTATTTTTAATCAAATAATTTATAATCACAAAAATATCTTAAATTGTTTTAATCAAAGTTAAAAAGATATATAATTTTAAATATTGTATCAAATGAAATAATGATCCATAAAGTAACATAAGAAAAGTACTTAATTACTAGCTGACAGGGAAATGGTTGTTAGAAACTTAGAATCTATTGACTTGAAATTGACTTGTTACTTTATATGAGGATTATTTGAGAAATATGTGTTAGTGTTTTCATACTCTAACAACCAATTAGTAGTATTGGTTTGTTTTTTATTTTAATTTTGTGTTGATTTCTTCCAATTGGTTAAACTCCCTTTTCAAGTTCTTGAGAAGGTAGTTATATGGAAGTGTATGGAAATTTCTCTGTGTCGAAGAAAGTTTAAGCTTGTAACTTTAATTAGGTAATGATTAACTTGTGAGTAACTTACCTAAATCCTATTAGTTTAGGAGTTAATTACTTATATACACACACTAATTTGTAATATTATGTATTCTATCAGATTTTGGTGTCTCCACATACATGATCTCGAATGCATACATGAGTCAAATTTAGATGTATTTGTTTTACATACATTGTATCCAAGTGCATTCACATGCATCTGGATACATAGCAAATCTAGCTCGCCTCCCTCGTCTCTCTCCCATCTCACTCGTCACTATCTCATGTATCTTGTATCTCATATACATGTGAATCACTCCAGATACATAGTATATATACACGTATCTAGTGCGTATCTAATGATATTTGCATGTATCTGGGATACATATAAATTTCACTCGCCTTCCTCCCAATCTCGCTAGCCTCTCTCCCTATTTTTGTGTATTATAACAAAAATACATGTATCTAAACGTAATATATGTAGAAAACTCTAAAATAGTAAGATATGTAATTATTTAAAAATATAGATAATAATAATATATATGATACATAGTAATTTTTCCCTAACTTATATTGGAGTAATATTTGTATACTTAGTATTCTTACTTCACTTGGAAGTCAATTATTTAAGGCTAAACGCATGTTATAATGGCTAAAAAAACATCATTTCAAAATTAAAAAAAAAATAAAAAATCAACTCATGATTCGTGTGAAGACATTGTTCGTATTAACTACCATATAAAAATATTATATTAAAGAATAACTAGTTATTACTTGTTGATTAATAAATATTTATAAAATTATGTGTATTTAAAAGTCCATAATCACATAGACTTATTTATAAAAGAAACATGAAGACGTGAGATTTATCAATGCGGACCCTGTCAATATGGATTGACCCACCCATCCTGGCTAATTCATACAGGTTTTGCAATTTGACGGGTCAGGTCGGGTTAACTCATTTTTTTGTGAGCCAAAAAATGATTGGCCCAATCCATAAGTGTGTAGGCTACGGACTTGTCGGGCCAGCCTCTTTTCTTAAAAGTATATTTTTTATAAGTTTTAAAATTAAATTATAAATTAAAATTATTATCATAAATATCGACAAAACAATATTACATGAGGTTAGTATTACTATTTGTTAAATATACAAATCAAATTATCTATATAATATTTATTAAATTTGATTTCAAGTAAATAGATAAATAGAAATATTAACCTAATTGTTTTCCAATGATCATAATAAAACATAAAAACTATGATAATGTTTCATAGGCTATTGACCTATGTAATGATTCTCTAGAAATTTTAGGAATTTTTATTTTATGTTGTACATATTATTTGTATTTAAATTCTGATATTTCAAACTTTAAACATATTTTGACTGTAGACTCCTGTTATTTTTAATACTCTATTTTTATTTTTTTAATTAATTTAAGTTGGTCGACGAGTCGGTTCTATCCATATTTGTCAAGCTCCACAAATTGACAGACTTATTCAGGCTAGACTAAAAGATTATTTTCTTAAATGAGTTCAAAAAATCGTAGCTCACCCATATTAACTCACGGGTTAAGCAAGGCCGACCCAACTAGCTTGACATTGACGGCTCTATTTATGAACTATGATTTTGCTTATTTAGTAAGATTGTATAAAAAATTATGAATTTTAATTGTTTCACAATTTTGAGGAGCTTTTGTGTTTATAAAAAAACATACAACTTAAAAATTTAATTTAACATATCTAAATATAACTTTAACTCCATATCAATTTAATTTCATATTATAATTTTATATCGAAAGCAAACCCTTAGATAGCTGAACATACTATATGCAGAGTGTGCACTTTATTTTCCCAGGAATATAACTTGTCTGCCTATTGTTTGAGTCTTGAGACAATTATTAATTGTAACTCTGACTACAGTCTACAAACACCAATAACTTAGATGGTGTTTTCCTTTTGCTAATACATCAAATCTTTAAAGCATGGTTAGATTAAGTTATATAAGTATTAGTAATCTAAGATTATCTTCTGTTTTATATAAAATAATACATAAATTTTTTCATAAATTATATATATATATTAGTTACTTTAAGTTTTTAAATAATCAACTAAATACCGTATTAATTTTACATATGAAAAAAGAAAACTTACTTTTTAACTAGTTATCAAACGTGACATTATTTATGCATAATTCAATATATGTATAACGCTTATGCGAGTTTTGTATGTTAGTTTTATTTTATATTTTAAAAATGGCTAATTGTAATTTTAATAACTAGTAATTGATATGGTAAATGGTTGCTATACTTGCTAGGAACTCTCTTGTGAATTTCATATTACATTGACTGGAAATATATTTGATACTTGAGGACTTGGAAAAAGAAATACAAGTATTTTCATTCTCAACAACCAAATTATCTTTAATTAGTGGCGCATGAAACCAAAACAAGGCTAAATGTTTTCTTCTTTTACAAAATTTTACACATTTTATTCATTAAACTCTAGCAAATCTTCTACGAACAATAATTATATATTCAATGTAATCTGATAAATAAAACTTGAAAATGATAAAATATACACATATTTTACCTTTAGGCTCTACCATTACATAAAAATAACATTTCTAATAGATATATCTTCGACTTAAAGGACTGTAGATTTTCTGACTCAAAGGAATATAACTAATTCATCATTCTTAACACACACACACACATATATATAAAA